CGGTTAAGACGAGAGGAGACAGGAGAGGCGATGCAAGGGACATGTTTGCGGTGCTCAAGGTGAAACTGACTCTCCTCCTGTTATTCAGCCTCGACGTTGAATCATGGCTTTCACATTTTGGGCGGCTTCCCCTGGGCCCACCCCTTGTCTACTTCCCAATCAACGCACGGATACATCATACACCCCATAATATAACTAAGTGAATCATGGATGTACGGTTTCAGACGACTTATATTATTGGGAGTATTACGTAAAACAAACTAAATTTACTAAATTTTAAATAATAAATTTTAAAAAAAAATACTACCTTCTATCTTAATTATAAAACATCGTTTGTAATTATTATAAGATCCCATTTGTATACTGTAAAACAATATCTTATAATCAAGACCGACAGTAATATATTGTTATTTATAATATCAGTCCTGTGAAAACCTCGGTACTAAGTCCAATTTAGAATTTGATCATATTTAATTTTTTTTTCTTGTGAGATTCTCCTTTCATTATATATAGTTTTAGAAACTGATGTTAACCGAGATCTGGATCAGTATAAAATACGAAATTTATGGCAAAATAAGCTGATCATAGATTACAAATAACACGAGTCATTCTATACATTACAATATGCAGCACTTACGAAAATCCAGTCGGTTGAGAATTACAAAACCACGAAAGAAATTATCTTTTTTCCCAGCAAACAATGTTTACCCAAAGAGGGTGATACCTATAAACTTTATTACTCCTCCGGTCCTTATTATAAGACCCAATTTGACTTTTTATTTGGTCCTAATTATAAGACCCAATCCATTTTCTCTTTTATATTTATGCATTTTTTTCCAAGATAATCCTTCTAATAATGATAGTTTTAGCTAATATACTTAATTAGCAAGGATATTTTAGGAATAACAACACTTATTTATTATAAATAACCAACTTAACTTACTTCCTTAATCTCCTCAAATAAGTCAATTGGGTCTTATAATTAGGACCGGAGGAGTATAATAACATGACCATGCTCTTCTAAAAAAAATAACACCGTGGTCATAATTAACAAATTTATTTAAAAGCAATTATGTGCGGGGTGTGTTAAGAAAATTATATCGTCAACAAGAATAAAAAATCAGACCGAACACTAAACCGGTTAAAGTAGTGGTTCAAAAGTCACTTGGTCGGACCGGGGTTAACTCGGAGTCCAACCGGTCATATTAAAATAATATAATTTAATTAAAAATAACAAAATATAACGACATTAATAATTACTAATAACAAAATATAAGAAAATATGACAATGGTTTGATTGTAACAATAATAAAGTATGACAATATTGAAAATTTTGATCTTTATTATTCATTATTAACTAAAATTAATAATCATTGATATTAAAATTATCATTAAAATTCATTTAAATCTATAGGGGCTGAGATATTAGGAGTTAAATGAGAAAAAATAGGACACATAACAACTAAATCATCCAAACTACTTTATTACCAGTTCACACCGGTTTTTACCGGTTCAACTCTCTCCCGGTTTGATATTCAAATAGAACCGGACCAATGACAGGTTTACAGGTTCACCGATTAAACCAGCCGGTTCGATCCGGTTTTTTATTATTTGAGTATCAATAAAAATGCGTGCTGCTAGTTTTAATTATTTATTTTTTGCCAGATGGTTTTATCGTTTTAACGAGTGGGTTCCTGGTTATTTAAAAAAAAAAATGTTGGGTTAAATCGGTTATTCTACAGATTCCACCCTGCCCCGAAGGCAGCGTACGGGCCACAGGCCGGATCCTTTCAAGATCAACACGAAACAAATGGAGTCCGATGAGTGACCGTCGCGTCGCTCTCAATATCGGAGATAAGTGTCACTGGCCCACCAATTTATGAATCCCTTTGTTCATATAATTGATTTATTTATTTAGGATTCTTTTACATTTAAAAAAAATTATACGTATTAAAAAATTTAAATTACTACATAGGCCATGACTCATACAGGGAAAAAATAGTTAGCATGACACATGTGGTAGGATAAGTAATTTTATATGTATTAAAAAATTTAAATTACTACATAGCTAACAACTAAAAAATATAAAATGATTAAAAGAGTGGAGAGAAAGGGACGAACACAATACGACGTGCAACGCTGCGCCATGCAATAAACTGATGAGAAGCGGGATAATAGTTGGAGTGCTGCGATCACAGAAGCCACCAAATAAAAGTCGCTGACGATGCATCTCGATTCCTCCTGCGTGGGGTAAGAAGGGAACAAAACGAAACATAAAAATAATGTAAACTAAACAAAACAATAAAGCTGTCAGTTAAGATGATAATTGATTTCAGCCTATAAAAAATATAACATATGTTCGGATTTCGGTAAGCATACTCATTAGGAGATTTTTGACCTTGACACTTCTGGCCCAATGATTCAAAGAAACTCTGAGCTATAAAAAAAAACATATTTAAAAGGTTAAATTAAATGTAGATCATCTCAAATAAAATCAGAGCCCTAACTTATTTTTAGCTTTAGAAAGAAGTCAGTTTTCTGAGGGCAAAAAGGAGACGAAAGATCTATAATGGGCCTAGGGACAGTCCAGCAATTCCTGGATAAATTTTAGGAAAGGCCCATTTTTGAGTATTTATTTTTGAGAAAGTTTTGCTGGAGAGACCAAAAAAAAAAAGGAGAGTAGTAATAAGGGCCAGGTAATGGAGTTACAGGAGAATTAATTAAGGATTGGGTGGGGGCAACAGTATCTAATACATTCGAAGCAGAGATCAAAGTGGACCACAGTGAATCCTAGTCAATAGCGATGGCATGGGCATAGTCAATAGGTCTGAATCTCTTGGTGGAATGGGACCAGCCTTTGCTCAACCTTTTATGATTGATGTGGACATCACATGCCTCCTGGAAACTTATCTCTGAGCCAAGTCCAAACAATTCAAAATTTTTTAATTTAAAATAATAATGACAATATTTTTTAAACACAGCTTAAAACACGGGAAAAATAAGCAGACGAACCATTATAATTAATTGAATCAAACCATTAATCAGATCAAAGGGGAAAAATAATAGACTCTTGGTATATCGTCAAAACAGAGGGTGCGGCAAGAAAGTCAAAGACGACTGGCCGAAAGGAGTGTAATTAACAGGGCCTAGCTTTTTCCAGACCCTGGCAAAATTTAAACGCAGGAGAAATAATGAGCAGCCGGGGCAGAAAGAAAAGACGGATCCCTTCCATGTTATGTAAAAGATAGGGCTGGTTCTTCATGGTTCAAAAGTCAGCCTTGGCTTTTCATCCTTCTACCTCACACCGGTGGAAAATGACATTTCCCCACATACGTGACCCACTTTTCCAATCATGGACTTATCTCCGAAGTTACTCCAATCTATGACTTCCTCGTGTCTGATTTTAATGAATTCCTCCTCTCTGTTTTTTTTTGGTCCTTGGGAACCAACTGATCCAAATGTACGTAGAAATTCTACTTTGATCAAGCTTGTAATTAACAAACGAGCCTTAGAACAGGTGAAGTTCACATAAATTCGCTCACGGACTCAAATCTCATCCAGAAATAATGCAGCAGTGTACTGGAGTTTGGTTTATTCCAGATATTCCCATCAAAGTTTACCTCACATCATATTGATAATACCCAGAAAGTCCAAGAAGCTGAATCACGGGGTGAGTTGTTGAACTACTTTGAGGAGGCAACGGTCCCATAGCTCTGCGGCCTCCCTTTACATTCCAAAAAGGGGCTACATCTCCACAACATTCAAACAGCATCCCAGCAATACTCCATCCCATTATTTTAAGCATAATCTCACGAATCATCTCTGCCCTTTATTTATTCACTTATGAACTACTATTAATTATGGGAAAGTGGGTCCGTGGTGCGGCTGAGAGTTCGACGAAGGAAACAAGGTGACTTCATAACACGGCATGAACCTCACGAGTGCCTCAAACATGTGGCATTTTTAAAACTTGTAGTCTTTTCATGAAAAGGAGCCAGCAGGATTAAAAAAGAATCTCTCTCCTTTCTTTCTTTCTTTTGCTTTTGTCTGTCCTTCTCCATAGCCCCAAATCCTCTGCTTTATTAGCCACTGCTTATCTTCCACCTGTTAAATCGTTAAATTTTGCGCGCCAGGGCTTTCTCTTTCTCCTAGCCATCTCTCTATTATTAGGGTTTGTTTCATCTGGTCCTGGAACATCAGCCTTACACGTGCGTCCTACCATCCCCATTTTTTCCATTCTGGTGTGCCATGCTTCGCGGTTTTCATGATGGAGAAAGGATTTACGACGACGGTACAGCTCATGCCCTCTGACTTTTTCTCTTGGCCCTTTGCTTAGTCGTGATTCGTTTTTTAAGATGCGATCCACCTGGTCCTTATATATGTTAATTATCACGCTTACCCACCTCAAGTAAAATCATATTTACCTAAGTAAATGACATATTTCAAAGTTAAAATAATGTCTGCGTAGAAACTTCAAATTATGAGTGACTAATGAGCATTTTCTTCTTTCAAAAGCACATTCACGTTATCATGATTATGATTTTATGGACCATGACGCTTGTTATTCTTAATCCGTGTAAAATGAGATCAAGGCTATAATTAATGAAAAGGAATTCCACGAAATACCTTTTCCCGGGGCCAGATTCATGCTTTCCTTTTGCTCACTCGGCTGTAGACACTAGATTGCTTACTGTTCTGGCTTCTGGTGACTTGTGAGTTCTCTCTGTCTTCGCCATGAGCATCTTGGATTGTGGGTCTCCTTGCTTGCTCACTGATCATCCTTTTCTTCTGTTCATGTCCTTATTCTAACTATTTTCACTACAAATCTAGACGCGTTGGCATCTAGCATTCTCAAGCTCATCATCCATAGTCTCCATTCTCTTTTCCTTCTATTCTCTTATGTCCTCATCTACTCCTTCCCACGCAATCAGCAACTTGACTAATGCATTTTTGACTTCTCAGTGACCGAAGTCTTTCCCGGAATCGGCTCCTTCGAATAAGCTAACTGCCACTTGAAATTTTCCAATGGGGGCCCTGGGTTGAGTATATAGTAGTTCATTATTTTTGTTGTTATCCTGTCATTAACATTAGCCTGCGATATTCAAAGTACAATGTTATCGTCAAGATTCTGCTTTTATCAGCTTCCTGAAAAGTGATTATGTTCTGAAAAATGCATTATCCATTGTGATTGGAGTTATTCGGTTCCCGTCTCTGCTGAAGTTCCAGTTTTTAGTGGTAGAATTCATTTCTCATCCCTGTTTGTTTCAGAGAAAAAGGGGCTTCGGCTTCTGGATATTCTATATTCCTCTCCTGCTTACAATTTATGGCCTTCAATTCGTCTAGTGATCACAAACTTATGCTTCCTTGTCAATTTGCTGTGGGCATAACTATGCTTCTCAGATGATTATGAAGGTTGTTTATGGTGGGTTCTTCAATCTCAGTGATTTTGACTTTTCCTCTCAGGTACAAAACTTAAGTATTTTCTTCTTCAATTGTATTTGATTCATTTTGAAATGTTCTGGGCCCTTGAAAATTTGTCTTCGTTCTGGACCTAACATTCTTTGAAATTTTGTAACCGAGTTTTTACCGTCACACCATTGAACGATCGTGCCATTGGAACCTGAGAAAAATCCTTTTCATTACCTCGTAGATTCTCAGGCATAGGCTAAATTTTACTAAGATGACATGCAAAAGATTTCATGTGTGACACTGGGGGGTAGCTTTCTGTAATATCCCTTATATTGCCCCTGAACTCATCTAGAAATGCTTGAACAGGAGCTTTGTTTCCTTAGACCACCATTCTTGCTGTGCATTTTCGCTGGCTTCTTGCTAAATTCCTTTGTCATCGCTGAGATTCCATTGGGTTCCAAACTTTTGGTGGCTGACAATGACTGTTGGGTCTCCTCCAACGGTGACTTTGCATTAGGATTCTTTAACATTTCAGATCAACCTAACCTATACAGTATCGGCATTCATTACAATTCGAAGTCTATACCAACTAGCCAGCAAACAGTTGTCTGGACTGCAGGAGCTGACATCACAGTTGGTAATGAGTCCTACTTCCATCTCACTCAGCAAGGGGAACTGATCCTGTTTGATTCCTTACGGGGAATCCCTATATGGACTAGTAAAACAGGCAATCGATCAATTGTTTCAGCTGCTCTTCGTGATAATGGCAACCTTGTTCTACTGGACAGAGAGCAAAACACTGTTTGGCAAAGTTTTGATGATCCTTCTGATACACTTCTTCCAGGACAGAGTTTATATGTGAATCAGACACTTCGAGCTGCAAGCAAGAATTCATTGTCCAGCTACTACAGTCTAGATTTGAACGCTTCCGGTCAGTTACAGCTGCGTTGGGAAAGTAGTATTGTTTACTGGGCCAGCAATAGCCCTTCTACTTCAAATCTCAGCGCTTTTCTAACCCCCAGTGGAGCCGTGCAACTTCGGCAACAAAGTTTGAAGCCCGTTTGGTCAGTGTTTGGAGAAGACCACAATGATTCCGTGAATTACAGGTTTCTTAGGCTTGATTCAGATGGCAACCTGCGGTTATATTCATGGATAGAAACTGCACAACTTTGGAGGACAGTCTGGCAAGCTGTTGAGAATCAGTGCAAGGTCTTTGCAACTTGTGGTCAACGCGGTATCTGCGGGTTCACTGCCTCGGGTGCCACTGATTGTAGGTGCCCCTTTGAGCTCACTGACAGTATCAATTGTATGGTTCCTTATAAGGAGTGTGAATCTGGCTCCATTATGCTTACATTCAAGAACACATTTCTTTATGGAACATATCCCCCTGATGAATCAGTTATCATAAGTAGTCTGCAGCAATGTGAGCAGTTATGTCTGAATGATTTTCAGTGTACATTTGCGACCTACTTCAATAATGGAAGTGGTCAGTGCTCCCTGAGGAAAACTCCGTATGTCACTGGTTATGCAGATCCATCTCTAAGCTCAATATCTTTTGTCAAGAGATGTTCAGATCCACTAGCTGTAAATCCCAATCCGAAGCAACCGCCTCCATCAGAACAGCCTATGGAGCTTTGTCTTCCTTGCTTAATAGGAGCAGCCTCAGGCACATTCTTCATCTTTGCTATGGTTCAGTTGGGAATTGGTTTCTGCATCTACAAAAGAAAAGGCTTTACTGGTAGGAAAACAGCCACCTTGGGTCTTGCGAGCCCACACTTGAAGGGCCTAGCTGTTTTATCTTTCTCAGAAATCAAGAGCCTAACTGGGGACTTCAGGAACCAGATCGGTCCAACTATGTTCAAGGGTTTGATGCCAAACAATCACCTGGTTACAATTATTAACCTCAATGCATTCATTGAAGAAAGGAAGTTCCGAGGTGCTGTCATGAAGATGGGAAGCATCCAGCACAAGGACCTTGCAAAGCTGGAGGGTTATTGCTGTGAGTTCAATCATAGATTTATGGTGTATGAATATGCCAAAAATGGTTCTTTGGGTAAATATATAGATGATTCAACTCTGTGCAAGAAGTTAACCTGGAGAAAAAGATTAGACATATGCTCAACCGTGGCAAAAGCTATCTATTATCTGCACACTGGGTGTAGGGAGTTCGTGAGCCATGGAAATTTGGAATGTGAAAATGTCATGTTGGATGAAAACTTGACTGCAAAGGTGACAGATTTTGGGTTTGCAAGAATAGATGGTCAAGCATCATATTGTGGTTTTTCAGCTGAGAAGGATGTGGAGGATTTTGGGAAGTTAGTATTAACTTTGTTGAGTGGATCTCGAAATCATGAGGAAATTCGCGATTGGGCTTATAGAGAATGGAAAGAAGGGAGAGTTGAAAATGTGCTTGATAGAAGAATTGAAGGTGGAGTGGAAGTAGAAGAACTGGAACGTGCATTAAGAATAGCATTCTGGTGCATTCAGATGGATGATCGCATGAGGCCTTCTATGGGGGAAGTGGTGAGAGTACTTGATGGTAATTCGAGTGTAGATGCTCCTCCACACCCATTTGCATTTCAGAAGCCATTGCATGAAGATGATGAAGCACAAGAATATGGTTCAGAATCAGAAGTATAAGGCAGGAACTTCTAGTTAGCATTCTTGCAATGGTATGTTTATATTAGTTAGGACTAACCATCCAGGTGATGAATAACTATGTTCATGTCCAATATTTTTTTTGTCCCTGAAACCACATGGGATGTGACTGTAAACTGTGGAGATCATAGTGTTAAATGTTGATCTGCATTTGAGCACAGCACAGACGATTGTCACGTGCAGCCTTGCAGGGCAAATTAGTGTTTGCTAAATAAAATGGATAAATGCATTATTGTACTGTATAATGTTTCTTTTAATTTTCACTCGAATGAAAAAAAAAGAAGAAGATAAAATGGACGAATGGAGCAAGCTACGCTATATTACTATTTGGTGTTACTATTCAAAAAAAATGGTGCCCTGTAATTGAGGTTTTTTCGGGGAGTGTCTCTTGCTTCCTTTTTCCCGGCTCCCCAAACGAAAGGACGACTGGTTATACTATGTTGCTGCACTTCCAATCCAACTAAATATTAGACGTTAAATGGAGATATAATTTTTATGAGGATGAAAAAGAATTTTAATGCACTAAGTCATATTACTTACCATAGGCAAAAAATGAATTGAGAGTACTATTTTACACTTTTCTTTGCTTGAACAGAAAGTAAAAGTAAAATTAAAACTTCAGAAGACTTATTTCTCTCACTTGTGATTGTGTGCTCATTTGGATTAGTAGTGAATAATTGTGATTTTAGGTAATCATAAATTTTATAAGTGACACTGACTAGAAGTGATGTTGGTTAATTATGATTTCTGTTATGTTTCTTTCACAAGTTACTTTAAGATTTGTGATTATATGTTGGGTTTCCATTTATTAAAATCAATTATGGGTGTATAATTACCACAAAAATGAATTTAATAAATATTATTAAATATAATCATTTGGGGAGAGATTTTCAAAAGAATGTAGGAGGGTAAATTAGAGAAAATTCTGTTGCTAAAATTTGATCAAGATTTTTCAAATGCATAAGCTATTCCTTAATGCTTATCCTTAAAGTGCGCGGGAGAATGAAGTCACAATTTATTGGCATTTTATAAAAATTACCCAAACAGAATAAACGTACTTTATGATCACTGGTTTAAATTTAAACAGGTTCATTGGAGCTCTTACCCCTCTTAGCCAAACAGGCAATGAGAATGCTCCCAATTCTTGATAACCAGAGGCCGCTTAGTATTCGAACCCAGCAAATGGGCCCAGAAAATATTTATCGATTCCCTGCTTCTTTCAAAGGGAGTGAATTTGAAGGCTACTTCGGGTCCATTGGGCTAAACAGATTTATTAAAAGTGGGAATCGTGAAGCCCAGCTACGGCAACCGGTGTTTTCACGTTTGTTTTTGAACAGTGTTTTCACCTTTTTCTTATCCAGATTGAGTTGTTTTGGTTTTGGGTTAAGAAAGATTACATTAGATCTTCCTACAGAATTACTTAAACTGTATTTTTTTAATTTAAAATTCAGAAGAATTTTAAATAAAAATATGAATAAGAATTACACATTTTAATTAAAAGATTTGTGCATCTGTCATTTATTTAGCATAATTTTACATATAATTTATGTAAAAATTTCAGTTTCTTCAATAAAATGTTTTTCTAGTTCTTGTTATAATTTTATGTATCTTTTATCGAATGTTATTTTATTTTTTAAAATTTATATGTTTGTTAATACTAAGATAATACTACCATAATGTGTGTGTATTCAAACGAAAGTGTATGGCGATATTTCACCGAACGATTAAATTGATTTTCAGTAAAAGAAAATGTGAAAAGGACAACAGAATAAATATAACAATTGGGTGATAGGGGGGAAGGAGATAAGTGGGGATGAACCGGTCTTTTATCAGATTGTAAACCAGCCCGTCTAGCTCAGTCGGTAGAGCGCAAGGCTCTTAACCTTGTGGTCGTGGGTTCGAGCCCCACGGTGGGCGACTTTTATTTTTCAGCTTTATCCCAGAATCATCCAACAACGTCAGACTAAATTACGAAAATGGACACAAATATTCCCAACCAGGAACATTAGAGTGACAAGGCGCTAGCAGAAAGTAAAGAGTAAAAGCAGATAATAAAAGGTTAAAGAAACAGGCCGTGTCATCTTAATTATTCTACCTTTTACTTCGTGATTAAGAGGGAAGTCTCATATAACCTGGAGCAGAAAGGCATTCTAATAATAAATAGAGAGGTAAACTGCCTTGGGGATTTGGTAGAAGCGCTTATGATAAAATTTAAACCCCTTGTGGTAGTAGTTGTTGTTCTGGACCTTACTGACATATGGCAGAAAGTTTTCAACCTCTGCTTTAGTTTCTTGACATGAAGCTTCTTCAATTTTTCCCCTGATTCTACGGTTTTTCTCTAGAAGTGGAAACCTCCTGTCTCCAGCTTTAGCTATGCAAACTGAGATTCTCTTTCTTCAGCTAATCTTTGTGTAAGTTTTGCTCCATATAGCTAGCTAGCAGTACTTTAGATGGCTCCAGCTTGCACGAGAGCCCAAGTCAAGTGGCAGAGAAAGCAGAAAGAAACAATGGCGAGGCCTTGCGGTTCTAGTTTCGCTCCAACTTCAACCGCCCAAGATATAATGCATACTGTAGAGAAGGAAAACGAAGAAGACGCCTGCTCAAGGGGATGTTCCACTCCGAAGGCTAAAAGGTTCAGAATACCAGAGGTCTTAACCTGTCCCCCAGCTCCCAAAAAGAGAAGGGTAACGTCTAATTGTTCTTCAAATAAGATCCCCATAGCCTTTTTCGCTTCCCTGGATATAGAGTTATTCTTCTTCTCTGCCCTTAGAAATAATGTATGAGCTTGAAGTTGAGTGTTTTGGTTTGTTTAGAGGTCAGAAATTATGACACAGTGACTTTACGACCTTGATATTATTGCTGATCCTCCCTCCAAGCTAGTGATGACGTACCGAGTTTGTGACAACTTTAATTTAGTGTGTAACCCTAATTAAATCAGGTGCAAGTCTCAAACTGTTTGGTTTTTTTGCTTGTTCTGGGTTTGATCGATTTCTTTTTTCGGCTGGGACATGGTGATATTAATCTGGCTAGCTTTGTAAATTACTTACACTTGGAGAGCTTTCGATTTGATTTAACCCTGTTGTTCTTCTAGGTGGGTTGCTGATGTAATGCCTGAAGATGACTTGAAATTTGATTGTGTTACGTTTGTTTTACGGCTTCCAATATTTATTGTTGCGTGAAGTTATCGATCAGCTACTTAAGTAATGACTTGATCATCAGCATATATATTATATCATTCTTTGATCAGTTTAATATAAAGCAAAATAGGCGCCAAAATATGAACTTTCTTTTTCATCCTTGAATGTCACGTAGATCGTGTCATCTCCACTCCACACTGGAGAGGGAAGGATCGAGAGAGAAAGCAACTTTTGAATATGGGGGAACTGAAAGCTTTTGAAAGATTAATTCTTTCTCATGCTCCTTTGTATCTTTTTTCTGATTTGAATAAACGGCAGAAAAAGCATCCACACATATCTATTCCTTCTTTTTTTTCTTTGGTCCGGGTCCTGCCGAGTGTGCAGTCGACTTTACAAGATTAAAGTAGGAAAGATGGGAAGGTTGATTAGGATGGTGGCTATATGATGATGGATTGTCATCCATATCTTTTACAGTACCCAAAAAGGCATAGAAATGGGACAAAGCGAGAATCCAAAGATTGGATAGGCTTCGAAATGGAATATGTGAACTAAAAGTCTAAGATTTGAGTTTAGGGTTAATTATACAATGATGGTGTCCTGGAAAAAGCAGGCACATGAGGGGAAGTTGCAGAGCACATGGATAAGGGAGAATCCAATGAAGAACCTCGTGCGGCTGTTCGTCAATTTATTTCTTAATTATTGACTATACATATATACTCTGTATTTTAAATGCACGCACGTAGGGAGAATCTTAAGAAAACAGACAAACTGGTTGAATTATGTGTACAGGATTCGGTGTCGGCGAGAGGATTATTATATGTGTTGCTAATTGTTAATTTTCTTGCCTCACCGAAGCTTTTAGTGTTTTAAACGGTGGGAACATGGCTTCCAGCGTAAAAGGTTCGTCTTTTTTGATTATTTGGGATAGCCCCGGGACAAATTGTTACCATATATAAATTTTAAGCATATTCCGTGCAGATAGGTGGTTTATTTGAGATATTGAGGCTAAAAATAGTTGTACAGGAGAGAGATCGAATTACTTATGTTGTCATGATGAGAAAAATACAAGGGCGCCGCCGTATTGTCGTTTTTGTTTCTCCCGGCAATTGATACTGATCTAATTTCTGGTCGAAAGACTCGAAACTTGCGAATATATAACTACATCGTCTTTTTTTTAATAATAAAAGATGAATCAGCCGATAATTAGATTGTCTTATTTTAATTTTTAATATAAGAATTAGTTGACTTATTTGGGTAGATTAAGAAAACTAGTTAAGAACTGAAGTACTCCTCCGGTCCTAATTATAAGACCCAATTGACTTATTTGAAGAGATTAAGGAAGTAAGTTAAGTTGGTTATTTATAATAAATAAGTGTTGTTATTCCTAAAATATCCTTGCTAATTAAGTATATTGGCTAAAACTATCATTATTAGAAGGATTATCTTGGAAAAAAATGCATAAATATAAAAGAGAAAATGGATTGGGTCTTATAATTAGGACCAAATAAAAAGTCAAATTGGGTCTTATAATAAAGACCGGAGGAGTATTATAAGTTTTCATCTCCTTTACACCTTTCGATCCTTTTATTTGTAAAGCTTAGCCATGCCTTATATCTAGAGTTATTGGTGGGAGCTCACTTCAGGTTTTTAACTGACGTGCTGTTTACCTACTCGTAAGTGGTAAGTGGAAATGCTATCATGAACTGTTATTTTTAGCGATATGATAAAATGTCGGAAGGCCGGCCCGTTGGGTGCTTAAAGTTATAACTATTTGATGGGCTTTCTTAACACATACCACCTTTTATGATTAATCAAAAAATGACCCCAAAAAAAGCTAAAAAATTTATAAATATGAAATAAAAAATGTAAGCAAATTTTTTTTGTTATTTGAAAATTCAATATTGTCAACACTAAATAAAATATTGTTACCAAACCAATTTAAAATTTATTAATTTCCAACTTCTTTTTTTATCATTCTCCATTGGTTAATTTAGAAAAAAAGTAAGAAAGTTACTAAATTATTTAAACTATATATATGTATTTATCATTATTTTCTAAATTAATTTGCCTATATACAACCTAATGATCAGTATAAATATTTTAGA